AATAGCTCCGGGAATGCAAGGGGATCAACGCTTCCGAGTTATGGCCCGGTCGATGCGAGTGATTGCTAGGCAGGAATAAATTCCATTCTGATTCAATGCGTGATATCCCTACTACATGACACCAACAGCTGCCTTCACCCGTGCCGTCAACCCACAAGGACTCGGTGCCCAAAGAACCTGATCCTTCCCCCTACATACCCTCTGGTCTGTAAGGCTTCAGCCATTTGTCCGTTCGCTCAAACGCACGGTATAATTCCTGAGTGATACCAAGACCCGTTGACGGGCCGATATGCTTTACCGCGATGTACAGCTGCATGATTGGGAACTGGATGAGCGCACGAGAAGAACGAACGGAGCCAGATGACACTCACTGCATCCCAGAACCTGAATCCTCTCTTGAGTTCATCTGCTGGTGCCTTGACTGTAACAAAGGTGTCCTCAAGAATGCCGATTGCATTTTCCTTCGCTGCTTTGGTTTCCTCTGTCTCGGCATTCTGCTCTGTCAGTGTGACTCCTTCATTAAAAGCTACAGTGGCGTCGATGTAGACCTTGACGAGGATCCCGAATCCGGTGTTAACTTCATTCTGGAAAGGAAGGCCTGATAATCGATGGCGATCAGACAATGCATGTACCCAGTCATGTGAAAGTGCTTACCACACGCTACATCAGGGAAATCATCACGAGACTTTTTAGCTTCTCCACTCATCAGCATCTGGACACAAATCGCCTCGATCAGATGGCGTAGCGTTCGAGATAGCCCGTTGACGAAAGAGTTGAACACCAAAAGCTCTCGACTAAGCGGTCCCAGCCAGGGTTGATTCTAGTGCGAAATCTGTTGTCAGTGGACTATGTTTCTCAGCGGACAAAGACTACTTACGCGGAAGATGAGGGGGAGAATACTGATGGAACGCATAAACAAAAGCATACACTGGTTGTCGCTCGCTGTTTGTGCAAATGAGAATTAGAGCAAAACGAGAGCTAACGAGAGGCTAAACACCTACCAGTGTTCATACTTGCACCGCCGCTGATTTCTTCGTTATCCCATCGGTCGCCGTGCAGTGCTCCAGCTCGGATTAATTCCAAAGCGATATAGAGTGGCTCTTGGAACTTGTCGTTCAGACGTGATGCGACAACAGCCTTGTACAGTGCTTCGCCAATGGGAGACTGTTGGTTCTTGGGCAATACCAGAAGACTTTGTTGAGGGTAGGTATCAGCATATGAAATGAATTAAACGGATAATTCGGTACTCACCCTCGAAGTGACAAGAAACGCAGGAGCGCATTGGCTATCAGCTCGTCCTTGCGATCCAGGAGCTTGTCATTAGCTTCGCTGATTTTCCAGATGCGTGCAAACCCAGCATCCTTGGTAGCTCCGAGACACAATTTGAAGTCAATATTCGATGACTGGAGAAATACGAGGTGAGTGGTTGTAATCTTCTATGCGTATCAGCCTCAAACTCACGTTTTGCCGGCGCAATTCGTCATCAATCATACTGCCAGGTATTTTCCACTTGGTAGACCGAGCGATGAGTCCCGAATTGCGAAGGTCTTGCAATTTATTCTCCTTCCAGTTTGGTTGATCGTCAAAGTAGTAGGAAGCGTACTGAGAGCAAGCCAGTCAGAACAATTCTACCATAACAAAGCGATTTCATACTCACGATAGCATGTTGATCCCTCCAAGCCGGATTCAGGTGAGACAAGAGCAAGGTGACGGCCATATTTCGAGGCGCCGTTTCTCCTCGTGTCAAGACATTCCTCACGAATTGAGTGTACTCCTTCTTTCCACCGTCGTCAAGGGGTCGAGTCTCCTCCAGTCTACCGGAACTGACCCATCCGAGAATAGTCGGCGATACTAGACCTCGACTAAGGTAGTAGTACATTTCCTCTGGCAACCTGCTTGAAAAGATTGTATCGAGATCGCATGGGATATCGGGAGCGGTGAAGGTCGGGCTGTGTTTGATGGGTGGGAACAGAGTCATGTCTGACGGTAGGATCGCTGCGGCTCCCACACATACGAGCGGTAGAGGTGCACATGTTCCTTCGTCGGTCAAGACAAGAGCAAATCTGACTGCCGCGCGAGCCTTGACGAATGATTCGAGATACCCTGTTTCCCGGATTGGCGGTTCATTCTGGCACGTTATCAAGTATCGAATTCCTGATCCCGACTGTTTGAGAATACCAGCGAGTGGACCTGGTTGAGGCTGCAACTCTTCGGGAAGGAACTGCGCACCTCGTGGGGCGAGCAGAGGGCATCGAGGCAAGATATCGTTTCCGCTCAGAAGGCAGAGGTCGATCAGTTGATCGGGATTGATGGCGAGATGATGCGTCACGGTTTGTTTGTCGTAAAAGTTGAAGGTCATTGATTCAAAGCCAATAGAGTGAATGACCCTCGTGGTGGGATACATGAGCATTTCCGTTGGTCCATAGACGGAGTGTATGTATCCTTTAGGGTGGTTGAGAAAGTAGGCAAGCTGCGAAGGGCAGATGTGTTATTAAGGGATCATTCATGACTTGAGGATAAATCCTACCTGGGCATGCGAGCTGTAGGGCGCCACGACAAACTCGATATACCTATGCCGTACGACCCTCCAAACGAGCTTTGTGATCTCGGCTGGATCGATCCACATTCCGTTCGTCGGACCCGACTGCCAAATATGTCCCGCTGCTTCGGGTTCACCAGACTCATACCGCTGCCATGCAGCATCTCTACACTTGGCCTCTGCCAGTTGTGCTTCCGGGTTTGTAAACACAAACGGCTGTCCGGGTGTGGGTCCCTGACCGCCGTATTCCGATCCTCCGGCGAGAGATCTCGGTGCACTGGCAGGTGTTCCGGGAAGCGAGCCGTTGTTTCTGCGTCCAATGTTGAGAGTCTTTCGAGTTGCAGCCATCGGCAGGCCATTGAATACGAGAACGGGTGTGATCCTCATGTTTTCCAGCTGCTTCATTTGCTTTTCGATAATGTTCGCCAGAGCGATCGGGTATCCTCCGACAGCGGCCACCATAGGTTCGCGGTACTCTTCACTTGTCAGAAGTTGACGGACATAGTGGTTGACGTCGATACCCATGCGCGTGTCCTTGAGAAGCTCGAGGGGTAGCGTTTGAATCTGACGGGTCAGTCCGAGCCATCCTTTGGAACCGCGCAGAGTATTGGTCAACGTCGGTTGCCAGTGTAACAGAAGTGATATACTCACCTTGGAGTCCTACGACGGTCATGATTGGCGGTGCGAGCGGAGAAGAAAGTGCTTGCAATGGAAATGTTCTGGCGGCAAGAGCATGTTCACTTTTATTCTCACTATCCCACTATCCCCTAGTTGCAACTCCTCCCCTCGTCGTTTGGTCGTTTGCCTGCTGCTGGTAGTCCCCGCGTTCACACGCGCCAGCTGTGTCAGACGGGTTTGCTTCCGCAAGCGTGACCTGCATAAGCGACGTTCGCTCAAGTTCTACAAGCTGTTCTCCTCCATTCGTCGGGTTCATCACTGCGTATAGGTGATGAGAAAGCGATTCAGGACAAGGGAACACTTCTGCGGTGAACTACTAAGCAGATCTATCTCTTATTAGCGTATGTAATTCCGTCATTCCTCCATTCCTGTTGGATCGAGAGGGAGCCCGACTCGTAGGTCCAAGCCGCGCAACAACCAGTGCCTCGAAGTCTAGCTCGGTCGCAAACGTCTTGAGAGGCTGCTTATTCGCCGCCATGAAGCCCTGCAATCTGCAATGAGGGCCTCCTATAGCGCCTGTTCTGCCCTTGAATCGCCTTGTGTAGGGGCTCTCGGATGACTCGGTATTTCTGGCATGCTGGACTATGCTATTTGGTAGAGCCACGCCCTGCTCTCGAGGAGACGCCTAGGACTCCTAGGATAATCATTGATGAAGGGCACGACTTCACACTCGCGGCGAAGATCCTGTTGAACGGCACAGATGACCACGTCAGACTATAGTGTTGCTTGAGAACTGTAACTCTAGCCGCATAGTATATCTTGAATTTGAGAACCACGTTCTTTCCAGGCACTCTGCCCTTCCCCTTCAAATCATCAGCGCAAGATCCGTGGTCCAACGGTAGAGCTATGATGGATGATGGGTTGCTTTACTCATTCCTGGATCTTGCAGCAGGAACTCGAGCGACGGCATATAACCTGCTGGACCGAAGGTTCAATGAGCGCCAACAAAGCGTCATACCAAAGGCAACAGGTGCAATCATCTCAAGCATTCTCCTTTGGTTCGTGGAAAATGTAGGGACCTTGCAAGTATGATGTTAATACATGTAGGGCATGATATCGGAACAGCCAGCAGCTGAATTTGACCCGACTTGAGGCATGGATGACCCTTCATCTACTCGGCAATTACAGAAGTCGGTCGCACGTTAAGAAAGGAGCAGGGTATGTCGATCCGAACGCGAGCTGCATGTAGTTCTCAGGCACCGCTGAATGCTACGTTGGGGTGTCGATGCTTTCCACCTCACAGCAATCATTTGCACAAGTAGCTCACATTCAGCGTTGCCCTAGCCTCAGGTGATCACACCTGTTTATAATACATTTCGCAAAACGCTTATGCCACGCCATCCGTCCCCGAGTTTCCGTTCTTGTGTGGCAATTGAACAGCTGCCCCTCACCGGGTGCAGTACTATTTCAGGTGCACTCATAGTACGAGAGAGCTTACGAGAGGGCAGGGTCTGTGAATCGGTAGATATCAGCAGCATTGAGCATCATCTATCGTCAGCTACACACAGTAGCAGCAGTTAAAATGCAAGGTTGCCCGTACACTGTTTGATGGAACAGATCCCGGCAGGGCGCTAATAAGTAGAGTCTCTCGTGTGGCATGACGCTTGTAGGAGTCCTGGGGCTCTAACCACGGCTTTTACCTGACTAGGTCGTCAAGCTTTCACGGTTCACCAACGCGCCTCATCGATGTATAATCAGACGGTGGTCACTCAGTCCAGACAAAGAAATGGTAGGCGGTGGTCGTATTCTGTTGTTTTTACTGACAACGCGACATACAGCGTTGGCTGAATTGGTCTAGTGGTATGATACACCCTTAGGGTCCTTAGCGTCTTCTATCTGCCTGGGTGTGGTTCTCGGTTCGATTCCGGGATTCGGCCTCACTTTTTCCTTTTTGATAAGACAGGGTAGACACCCGGATACTGCATACTGCTGGATAGACGGAGCGGGATTGCAGGGGGAATCGTTACATGTAAGCGTCCTCTCGCCGTGGCTGCTGACTAGAGCTACAGATATGGGTCGTCCGTGTCAGTCTCAACACACCAGCTACTGCCATGATTTCTCACGCGCCCAACTTTTGCTACGCCGTGGCCTCGCAACGAACGTATCTGGACGGCGCCGGATCAATCTTACAGCTGGTCGCTCCCATATGAGACGCTAGTAACGACTTTGACAACACCCGAAGAACCGAAATCCACTCGAAATGGCGCTCTTCCGTCTGAGCTCTCTTCGACCACAACAAACCCACCTCGCCCACCTCATGTTAACGTATGAAAGTCCTCGCAACCCTCGCTCGCGATTAGCAACAGCTCCAGCTTAGCAACGCATGCTCTACAAGATAACGAAGCTATAGCCGGATTCAAGGCGTACCTTACGAAGCTATTCTTGACGAGCTATCATGGAACACCAACCAGCTCACCAACGTATGAACTCAGGTCAGCTCTCAGGTCTCCTACAATCGACAATCGCCATTAAGGCTACCGCCAGTCTGCCAAAAATACACGTACGCTAGCGGGCTGATGCGCTCGCGTTCACGCTAATCAGCTTGACTGTCAAGTCGAACAGTACGAACTGCATTCATCAACGATAGCTTCGACCATTCCCGATAGGTATCGTCCCTGACTTCGTCGTCAATCGCTAGTCGGACGTACACATCGGCACAAGTTGGCGGAGGTATACAGCTAGGTATGCTTGATACGGGACCTGATTTCAGCTTGGCCCTGACCTGATCACACCTTGCACCCTAGAACGTATGGTAGACAGTTACGAAAGCCACCAGACCATGCTAAATCTCCATATCGCCTTACGACTTATCAGCAAGTGTGGGTCGTTTCAGCAGATTATCAGTGGTCACATCGAAACGTCAACCGATACGGAGTCGTTCGGTTGAAAGAGACGAGGTCCAAGGATATGTTCCATGTGCTCGTCAACACCTCTCGGCATTCCGGTTCTCAACCGTCTACATACCCGCAAGCGGGACGACATCAAGATTGCGACCATGTCCGCATGGAGTTCAGGCTCAATAGGCACAACAGACGGCATGTAAACTCAAGTCGACCTCACAATCGGTTGTCCATCGGAGAAAGGCGCCTCGCTAGACTTTGGAAGCTGCCACAGCTGACCTCCGATAATAGGCAACTAGAGAGGATCATCCGAACGATGTATAAATACCTCACATCCGACAGTCTCCCACCTGTGATCGACCTTGGTCTCTGTCTCCCAGCAACAGCACGACGAACACAATGAGGCGAGCAGCGGTATCCATCTTGGCATTGCCTCTCCTGGCTTCAGCCGCTCCCACTCAAAAACGATGGCAAGGTGCCGAAGCTTGTTCCTACATCGCTACACAAACCTGTAAGTAATTTGGTGTGTTGTCTAGTTGAAGAAAGCTGTCTCACCCTCCTCTTCCAAATACAGTGAACGATCCTCGTGACGTTGTAGCATGTCTCAAGTCATTCCCCTTCCGAGAGGATCTTAGGCAGAACGTCCTAGCAGTCGCCGAGAGCGTTGCCAGTTTCTACACATACGAAACATCCGCCGTCAACTCGCCAGCGCCTTATCAGGAAAGCACGGTCGACTTGGAAGGAGAATTCAATCGGATTCGATATCAGCATTACGACACTGACTATGACTTCAACGTCGACCTATACTTTACCGTCAACCGACTCAATGACGGCCACACTCTCTGGCTGCCGTACTGCTACGTCGATGCTTTCCAAAACCTCTTACCAATTCCCATCGTATCGTTGGCCAAGAAGGCGGATTCGAAGAAGGAGTCCATCTATGTCATTCCCGATGCGGACGCGTTCTTCTCCCAGTACTTGAAGGGACAGTTCAACCAGTACTATCAGGACAAGGGAATCAACATCACCCGATTGGCAGGGGCTGGTGAGTTCACTCTCTTTCTGATCCAGACTTCTTCCTGATTCACACTCGATGTGGCTTTCTGTCAGAGGTGACCAGCATTGAAGGCCAGGATCCTTACGCGTACGTCTCGCAAATCGCGAGCAACTACACCGGCAACTACCTTGACCATGGAATCCGAGAAAACTCGGTGTATTCGTCCTATCGATACACAGGTGGCAAATGGGGCCAGAGACTGGGCGATTTTGCCGGACCTATCGTCCCCTCCTATCCCAAGTACGAGATCACCGTGACTCTTGTTCCCACTGATACCAAGAAGCCAGAGACCGTAACGATGTAAGCACGCGAGTTATGCCTCGGATTCTGCGAGTATCCGACCGATCATCCTCTTTTGTAGTCCCTATGTCAGCACCTTCCTTGGCAAAGACTTTACCGATCAAGGCTCGTACTGGGAAAACAACTGTGCAGCTTTGAACACCACCAATGGTGTCGACTACAAGCTGCAGATTGTCGCGGCGAACAGCACCAACAGCACCAATACCTCTTCCCAGAGTACAGAGTTTGCCGCTATGCACCGGGGTAAGCGAGCTGTTGCCGCATTGCCGGACTTGAATGCGCGACGAGAAGCCATCAACTTGCCTCAACCCTATGTGCCGACCGCCTACAACGCATCGGGAAGTGACGACATCACGTACTACACGATGCTGCCCGAAACCTCTGTAGGTGTCATGATGCTCGGATCGTTCTCTCCCGCCGATTACTACCAATGGCAGACCAACCTGCTGGAAGGTATCAACGGGCTCAAGGATCAAGGTGCTGACCACTTGATCATCGATCTCACGAACAACGGTGGAGGATACGTTTGCGAAGGTTATCTGGTAAGACTTACAATACCTATACCACCCTCATGTCAATACTCAATACTGCCTTTGTATAGCTTCATCGGCTGCTTGCCGGTCCCTCCGTGGACCCTAACCCCAGCTTCGAGTCTGTCGTCCGCGCCAATGAACTTGCAAAGCAAATGATGGCGTCCAACATCGAATTGGCCAAGACATACGATTACTACCGTAAGTATCGACTTCCCTCGGCCCCGCGAAAGTAGATACTCATTCGTCTGCTTTAGAAATCCTTCCAAACTACTTCCCACCGGCGTGGAATCACATTGCACCCAACGGCTCTGCTTATGGCCCTGCGGAAGATTTCATGGAACCTTCTTCGGACTTCAGCATCAACGGCATTCAAGATTCATTCTCCCAGCGAACCGCCGACTCGTGTACTCCATGGAATGTCGACGTCCCTGCCGAGCAGCCTTTCGACTTGTCGCGTGTGATCATCGTTGGTAACGCGAATTGTGCCAGTACTTGTTCGGCTTTCACCACCTTGATGCATGAATTGCACGGTGTCAAGATTGTCAACTTTGGTGCTGCCAAGGGCGCTTACTCCGGAATGGCGGGTGCTGAAGTCCTTGAATGGGATGCTTTGGATTCCGAGTTCAAGGTGAGTAAATTGGACCGTTGAATTACCGTTTCACAAAGCTAATCATGACGCCCAACTTTGCAGACCGCCAACCTCAAGGACAGTCCTCTTGCGGGACCGGATCTTGTTGTCAACGCCAACTTTAGGAACAACTGGCGGTAAGTCTTCGCCCGAAAAACTAATCATCCATCGTAACTGCGCTGATAAACTTCCCTCGTTTACAGAGCAAGCTACTCTTACCGTCGACCAGACACTTTCAACCCATACAACGACGATGTAGCGGATTACATCTTCTCTTACACCGCAGACACCTGGAACAACCCTCAGGCGCTCTGGTCCTTTGTGGCTTCCGAAGTCCTCGGTGTCAAAATCAAGAGCAACAACGGCAACGGTCAGGGCAAAGGACAACAGCACAAGGCATAAAGATAGGGTAGTGTAATAGAACAAACGCATAGTAGGTATGCTGCTTTGGATATCAAATAGCTGACAGAATCAAGCTGTTGCTACTGTGTTGTCGCTTGATCGTTCGCTTGGTGGAGTTTCAGATTACCCCTATCTTCCCCTGAAATCTCGATCGCAGCTAGCGTCAAACGCCAATTTTCACGCGGATGGCGAGTCCCCCAGATTTGACCGGTTTGCTCGGGTTTTCCGGTAGAGTCCAGTTTCACAAATAATAGGGCGCTTCTCCCGCTTCCCGACCGCATGCGTCTCTACGGCAGCGAAACAGAGAACAGGCCCAACACAAATATCCCAGATGGCGTGAGCTAGAACAGCACCTCCTTTCCGTCGTTCGACGTACCCGAGGCGACAAGAGGAAACAGAAGGCGAATGGAATAGCTAATGGAATGAGGGAGGAAGCTGTAACGTGCCAAGAGGAGGAGGAGTAACAACAAGAACATGAAAGAGACTGCCGGGACCCACATGTGTCTTGTTGTTTTGTTGTTCATCGGATTCCAGGGAAATTACGGAGAAGGCGGTGTTGGTGAGCAAGAGTCTCGTCACTGAGTGAGTTTTCTGTATATATACCTGACGTGTTGACGAAGACTAACCAATATCCTTTCAAGTCAAGGGCCGCACTGGTCCTGAACTCGATACTTCCCAAGATTCCTTCCCAACCTTCCAGAGATGTGGCCACTCGCATCTTTTACACTCTTTTCGACTCTCCTTCTGGTGGCCGCTGTGCCAACTCAAAAACGGTTGGATGGCGCTGAGGCTTGTACCTATATTGCTCAACAGACTCGTTAGTACACTCACACCGCCCAAACCACGCATGCTTGCTGACCTGCTTCACACTTTCACAGTGAATGACCCCCGAGATGTTGTGGCTTGCCTCAAGTCATTCCCTTTCCGAGAAGATCTTAGGCAGAACATCATGGACGTCGCAGAAACCGCCATCAACTTGCACACCTACGAAACCATTTCACTGAACGCTCCTGCACCTTTCCAGGACAGCACTGTCAACCTCAAGGCCGAATTTGCCAGGATCCGAAACCAACAGTATGAAACGGATTATGACTTCAATGTCGATCTTTTCTTCACC